GTGTGTGTGTTTCGGGCTGGTGTTATAAAAGCAGCTGACCTCACTGGGCCACTGATCAAAGCTGTCACTGCCCTCAGATGTCAGCATCAAAGCTGTGAGCTAAGCAGTGAACAAAGATGGACTTAATACGAGTTTAATTAGGAGAAAGAGAGAAAGAAACTGAAGGGAGGGAGAGCCCCATCTCTTTAAGCCTTTCCCACAAGCCATGATTCATCATCAGAGCTCACAGTGTTTTGATGTGTCGGTGCCCACAGGCATCTGAGCTTCTGTCCCTTTCAGATGCTGTTTAACGCAAAACAGCTTTAAACTTCATGCAGATGAAATGAAAAGAGCGATGCTGGTTCTCTGAGAGGTATCAGTTACCCTGTTTCATGACGTGGTTAAGTGTCTCGAACATGTGTGTTTATTATAGGAGGGTCTGCCTGACGTGTTTTCAAAGCATTGTTCCTCCACCCTTTGCATTAACTGGACCTTCCATTCTGTCAACCAAAAGAGATCCTCATTAGCAAGAAGAACAAGTCATCCACATCCATTATGGATGTATAAATAACACAGTAGACACAGAACCCGGCCCAGTTCGATTTCCACTCGGGAGCAGCGCTTGCATCATCAGTGTCGCATGGATCAGTGTAAAGCAGTGCAGGCTGCTGGTTTGGTGAAGAGGGAAAATCAATGTTATTGAGTCCGCTTGCTAACCCCCCTTCAGGCTATGATTCATGACCTGTGCTTCCTGCGCTGGCATATGATATAGTGTTTGTGACACGCTCTTTTGATCCTTGTCTGCATTCACGTTCGCCTTAAAATGAGTATTCTGTCATCATTTACTCACCATCATGTCATTCCAAACCTTTTATGACTGTCTGTGGAGCACAAAAGGAGATGTTTTAAAGAATGTAGAATGTAGCTCTGAAAGGATACTTTGAACAAGGGGTTTAAACAAATAAAAAATAAATAAAACTAAATGATATGGGTTTGGAACAGCGGGTTTATTAGCAGCTAAACTGGATTTGAAATTAACCAAATGTGAGTATAAGTGGCTTTTCTTGAATGAATGAATAAATAAAAAAGCTCCTGGACAATTGACCAAATATAATATTGGAAAAATAAAACATGGTCAAAATTGCAAAGTATGAAAAAGAACAATCAATCGATCAATCGATCAATCGATCAATCAATCAATCAATCAATCAATAAGATTTAGAAATCATGACATGCAGAAGAAAAAATAGATATAATGGCCATAAATTAATAATTTGTTAATTGAATTTAGTAAATTCATTTATGGCCATGTTTTATTAATTAATTTCTGCATTTTAGTTAAATCATGGCCACGTTGTGCTAATTTGTTGCCTCGTTTTAGGTGAATCGTGACCATGTTGAACTAATTTGCTCCCTCATTAATTTAGTTTAAACATGGTCATGAGTTACAAAGAAACAAATTAGTACAATGTGGCCGCAGTTTAACAAAAACAAGGGAACAAGCTGGCAAATCATGGGAACAAATTCTGCAAGGCTACAATAGAGTGCCACGGTTAAGACAAATTCGCCATGGGCTGCCTCACAATTTTCCTATGTTTTTTTTTTTTTTTTAAATTTATGAGTAAAACATGGTCTGTGGTAAATATAAATTGATAATATTATAAATTAATAATAATTAATTATTATTTATAATTATAATTATTTATTATTATTAATATTATTTATAATTATTTATTATAATTAATAATTATTTTTTTAAAAACAACAACAAAAAACAAACAAACACTAGCTTTCTATTTTTTCTACTTGTTTTTCTTTGTGTGTGTGTGTATGTATATGTGTATGTGTGTGTATAATATGTATATATATATACAGTGGGTACGGAAAGTATTCAGACCCCTCCAATCAGTATAATCAAACACAGCTGGACTCAAATGAAGGTGTAGAACCATCTCAAGGATGATCAGAAGAAATGGACAGCACCTGAGTTAAATATATGAGTGTCACAGCAAAGGGTCTGAATACTTAGGACCATGTGATATTTCAGTTTTTCTTTTTTAATAAATCTGCAAAAATGTCAACAATTCTGTGTTTTTCTGTCAATATGGGGTGCTGTGTGTACATTAATGAGGAAAAAAAATTAACTTAAATGATTTTAGCAAATGGCTGCAATATAACAAAGAGTGAAAAATTGAAGGGGGTCTGAATACTTTCCGTACCCACTGTATATACACCTTGCTACATGTACTGCGTTAGGCTAACCGAGACTTGTCATTTGCACTTATATATTGTTGCTCTTTTGTTAGTTTTGACTGCTTTTATTGTCCTCATTTGTAAGTCGCTTTGGATAAAAACATCTGCTAAAAAAAAAAAATAATAATAATAATAATACTTGGAAGTTTTGTTCTACAACATAAATTACACACTCATAGTGAAAACGCACATTTCGAAGGTTATGCTTATTTTTAAAAATGCATTTTTGTAATAAGTAACTCCATAAGAACATTTGGGGTATGAGCATGTGCATTTTATGTTGTACAACAAAACATCAAATTATCGTCAAGTTATGTTTACCACAGACCTTGTTTTGCTCATGAATATCAAAACCCCATTATAAAGCCCCATAAGAAAATCTGGAGGGAACTCATGGCGAATTAGTCTTCTGTGTGTGACGTCACAACTGCAGGACTCTATATCTCATTTTTCCCCCCACATGTGTATCTCTCCATAAGTAAACCAAATGTTTCTTCTTGCATTGTTCTAATTGTAGAATTTCACACACTTTTGCCACAACAACAACACAAAGGTACAACATCACAGACTCAATCAAATGTTTTTTTGTGAAAAATAAAACAAATGATGATGAGGTCTGGGATGGCACTTGGTGAACGTGCAAGTTCTTTGTTTTTCTTGAGTTATGTAGTTCGTGATAACACAGCGTTTTTACTGACTTTCTGTCATCTTTATTTCCCTCTTTGAGGTGCACAGAAATCTCTGTGTTGTTAATTTTACCGTCACTGAAGCACTGGTGGGTTATTTTTATCTTCCGATCTCTGCGCTACCTCAAAAGCATGAGCCAGAAATAGAAGCCGTGCAGTTTCCGCTTAAAATGATGAGAACAATCCTCCAGGAACATTTTAAATGGTGTCTAAACGAATCACCCTGTTGTGCTCCAAGATGATATTTGGTAGAAGAGATTCTGAGTGATAGCATTTATATGGAAATTCAAGTACCAAAGTGGCTTAAATGCAAAAATGAGGCCAAATGTGCAGCACTTTATGGTCTGAAGGACACACTAGCACTCCTGTACACACTCACCCCTCTCTCTCTCTTGCTTTCAATCATTGTACTTTTCTCTGGGTCAAGTGACTCATTTAATATGAGTCAGATAGGAATACTCATCAAAAGTGGCCACACGCTCTCAGCATTTTCTATAAGTTCATAGAAGGCAAAGTTTAGCATTTAAAAAGATTTCAGGACCATTTCAAGTTTTCATGATCATGTCATAATCAGTTCCAAAAAAGGCTGAAAACTATACTGCTTGAAAACATTAATGTTGGGTACATATGTGAGCAGGGCTGGACTTAACCAAGAAGTGAGGTAAGCAGCCACTTAGGGCCCCAGGGAATCAGGGGGCCACATCTGATATTGGCGAAACAGATTTGGCAAATGTTCAGGTGTGTATTTGTGTTTGGGCTCTGGAGAGCATCAGAGGTTTATATTTTCAATATTTTTTTTGCAGCGGTGAGCAGTGCAGCCAATCACAGACATATCTGTTGATTTCTTGAATGCAATGGCCAATCAGAGGTGTTTAAGTTAGAATCCAGTCACCGCTCAAGATGCCAGAGTTTTTGTTTGGTGCTGAGTTCTGTGCGTTCACAAATCCTCTCATTGACTATATGTTTACCTGTGCACCAGCAATGCGATTATTTCCAATAATCAGATTAATGACTTACATGGCACAAGCAAACCTTTTCACTCCTGTTTATATGCAATTTGCATTATTCTGATTATTCGCTAAGGTTATTTTTACCGCCATTATTCGCATACCCCACAGCACAATTGATAAACTCGTACATTAGGCATGCTGCTGGCCACTTATATCAAATGCAAAACATAACTACAGACATATCCGTGTACGTTTGAGCACATGCGCACTTTGGTTAGAGTGGTAAATATGAGATTAAGGTGTTTACATGCCTGTTAAATCAGAATATTGCCAAAATTCCATTATAGATATCATTATGAGAATCACGTAAACGTAGTCAATGTAACAAAAAATGTGTATACACAATGTAAAGAAGACATTCAGTGTGCAGTGTACAGAGCTTCACTGATTATATAGATCTAAAGTGAATGACTTTAGGGAGCGTTTTTAGGGAGCGCTCTTTGCACGCTTTCTTGGCTATATATAATCCATTTAGAATGTTAATAATTCATAAATGATTTGGTTCTGGACATGGTAAATTCCAAAGATTTTATTATAAATAATAATATGATTATAAATATTAAATGATTAAAGGTTTAGTTTTAAATGATTAAAATAGTTGTAAATTAAATCACTTTAATTAACACAAAGAAAATAATACACTATCCCATAGACAATTTGTGAAGGGGTAAATAAACCCCGTACCTGTTATTTGCTTAGGGCCCCAAAATCACTAAGTCAGCCCCAGCCAATACCTATAACATCTTCACATTTCCCCAGTTATAATTATTTACTAATTTACATACTTATTTTATTTAGCAGTCTAGTAGACTAATACTTACTTTATAATTGTTGCATACATTTATGGAAATCTCTCCTTCTTTGTCTGTTTCAGTGAGGACGTGTGTAAGAGGGGTTTCACTGTGATTATTGATATGCGTGGTTCTAAGTGGGACCTGATAAAGCCGTTACTGAAGACCCTGCAGGAAGCATTTCCAGCTGAGATCTGCGTCGCTCTCATCATCAAACCAGACAACTTCTGGCAGAAACAGAAGACTAACTTTGGCAGTGCCAAGTTCACTTTTGAGGTAAAAATGCAATTATTGAGTGGCTGTCTAGTCTTCTAATCCTCTCTCTCTTGTAGTGAACATACTACAGAGAGTTTGTATAAAATATCAGACTTCATGTTTCCTTGTTATAATTCATTTATGGCTCACATCAAACAAGAGGCAGGCCGTCCTTACTTTCACCCTAAACTGACATGTCTGTTTCTACCTTCTCGCTGACAGACTAGCCTGGTATCAGTGGAGGGGTTGACCAAACTTGTGGACCCATCTCAGTTAACTGATGACTTTGAGGGATCTCTGGAATATAATCATGAGGAATGGATTGAGCTCCGGGTCGCTCTCGAGGAGTTCCTGGCCAGCGCTGTTCACCTCCTCTCCCGCCTGGAAGATCTGCAGGAGATGCTGGCTAAGAAAGAGTTCCCGGTGGATGTGGAAGGCTCTCGGAAACTCACTGATGAGCACACTCAGCTGAAGAAGAAGGTGATGAAAGCTCCAGTGGAAGAGCTGGACCACGAGGGCCAGAGACTCTTGCAGTGCATCCGCTCCAGTGATGGCTTCTCAGGGAGGAACTGTATTTCTGGAAGTGCCGACTTCCAGAGTGTGGTTCCGAAGATCGCCAGTCTGCTGGATAAACTCCACAGCACCAGACAGCACCTGCACCAGATGTGGCACCTAAGAAAACTGAAGCTGGATCAGTGTTTCCAGCTCCGATTGTTTGAACAGGATGCAGAGAAGGTGAGTCAGCACTGGTTTAACCTAGTATGAGTTGACAAAATTATATGACTGTTTATGGCATAAGTAAATAAGCTGAGTGAGTGAGTGAGTGAGTGAGTGAGTGAATGAGTGAATGAGTAACGAGTTAGTAATTCAGTGAGTGAGTGAGTGAGTGAGTGAATGAGTAAGTGAGTTCGAGTCTCTGGTTCGGCAGGGATTGTAGGTGGGGGGAGTGAATGTACAGCGCTCTCTCCCACCTTCAGTACCACGACTGAGGTGCCTTTGAGCAAGGCACCGAACCCCCAACTGCTCCCCGGGCGCCGCAGCATAAATGGCTGCCCACTGCTCCGGGTGTGTGTTCACGGTGTGTGTGTGTTCACTGCTGTGTGTGTGCACTTAGGATGGGATAAATGCAGAGCACTAATTCCTAGTATGGGTAACCATACTTGGCCACATGTCACGTCACTCACTAAATAAGTCAGTGAGTGAGTGAGTAAGTGAGTTAGTAATTCAGTGAGTGAGTGTGTGAGTAATTCAATGAGTGAATGATTGAGTAAATGAGTTAGTAGTTCAGTGAGTGAGTGAGTGAATGAGTAATGAGTTAGTAATTTAGTGAGTGAGTGAGTTAGTAATTCAGTGAGTGAGTGAGTGAATGAGTAAGTGAGTTAGTAATTCAGTGAGTGAGTAATTCAATGAGGGAATGATTGAGTAAATGAGTTAGTAATTCAGTGAGTGAGTGAGTGAGTGAATGAATGAATGGGTAAGTAATTCAGTGAGTGAATGAGTAAGTGAGTGAGTAATCCAGTGGATTTGGGAGTGAATGAGTAATTCAGTGAGAGTAATTCAGTGAATGAACAAGTGATTAATTCAGTGAGCGAATGAGTGAGTGATTCAGTGAGTGAGTGAGTGATTGAGTGATTCAGTGAGAGAGTAATTCAGTGAATGAACGAGTGATTAATTCAGTGAGCGAATGAGTGAGTGATTCAGTGAGTGAGTGAGTGATTGAGTGATTCAGTGAGAGAGTAATTCAGTGAATGAACGAGTGATTAATTCAGTGAGCGAATGAGTGAGTGATTCAGTGAGTGAGTGAATGAGTGAGTGAGTGAGTGAGTGAGTAATGTAGTGAAGGAATAAGTAAATCAGTGAGTGAGTAATTTAGTGAATGATCAAGTAATTCAGTGAGTGGGTGAGTGTCCGGGAGAAAGAATGAGGATTCAGTAGCGAATGTGCAAAAACAACATTTATTGGGAATTCCCAATAAAGGAAGATGACGAGAGTCGGACAGGGGAAAGGTGAAGGTAACTCCGGGTAGTGCAGGGACACAAACAGGCAGCCGACGCTCGAGGATCCGTGCAGCGAAGCCTACGGCAGAGGAGAGAAGGAAACTCCAGGAACTGGTCAGAAACAGATAGACATGAACAGAACACGGTAACAACATCAAATGATCTGACAACACAGGACAGAAAACACAGACATTAAATAGGCCAGCTGATAAGCCACAGCTGGCGCTAATCAGCTGATGGCGCTGATGACCGGCAACACAAACCACACCCACAATGACATGGAGAGGGCTAAAATGAGTCAGTGAGACCATGAACCGTGACAGTGAGTTAGTGATTTAGTGAGTAATTCAGTGAATGAACGAGTAATATTTCAGTGAGTGAATGAGTGAGTGAGTGATTCAGTGAGTGAGTGAGTGAATAAGTAAATCAGTCAGTGTGTAATTTAGTCAATGATCAAGTAAGTAATTCATTGAGTGAGTGAATGAGTAAGTCAGTGAGTGAATGAATGAATAATTCAGTGAGTAATCAGTGAGTGAATAAGTAATTAAGTGAATGAGTGAGTAATTTAAAATAAATAGTAAAAATAATAAAATAAGTCAAAGTAAAAATAAGTCAAAGTAAAAAAGTAGTAAAATTGGACAATAGGGGAAAATGCAGTTATGTATGCTTAGGTATGCTTTACCCCAGAACTGTTCCCAAAACTTTGGTTTATTTCACTTTTTCCCAATGCATTTAGATTGCAAATGTGTGTGTGTATTTGGCCCCACTTTATATTAAGTGGCCTTAACTACTATGTACTTACATCAAAAATTAAGTACAATGTACTTTGTGTTCATATTGTATTGCAAAACACTTTTGCTGCTATTGAGGTGGGAAACGGGTAAGGTTAGGGACAGGTTTGTTGGTGTGCGTAGGTTTAAGGGTGGGTTAAGGTGTAAGGGATGGGTCAACTGTGTAATTATAAATGTAATTACATGCAGGTATTTTTAATATATAAGTACAATGTAAAAACATGTATGTACACAATAAGTGCATTGTGTACATACATGTACACAATGCACTTATTGTGTACATGTATGTACACAATAAGTGCATTGTACCAAATTATTAATTTAAATGTAAGTACATAGTTGTTAAGGCCATTTAATATAAAGTGGGTCCGTGTATTTTAAAGGCTGATCCGAATTATGTAAATCTAAAAATTGTGAGGGGCAAATAATGAAGTATGGTAGGAAATAAATATGTCCAAACCTATCATATGGTAAATAAAAAGAAAAGGGTATAGAGAATGCTCAGATTTGCTCTTGTGGATATAAAATGGATATAAATAGTAGTTGTCACTCTATATCTATCATTAATATGTCTTAGAAAGATGATATTTAAATGCTTAGTTGTATGGTGAAAGCTCTGAAAGTCGCACACACACACACAAAAGTATGGATAAAAGTAAAAAGTTACTTTAGTACAGTAAGTGTTCATCTTGAAATATTACTAACAATTATAAAAGTTGTACTTTAGAAAAATCATTAAAGATTTCACAGCCACAAGATTAAATTATACTAAAAGGCCTTTTTCTTGATAAAAAAAAAAAAAAAGTATATAAATCAGATGACAGAAGACTTTTTTTTTTCAGGCCTTGGAAATTAGCATGATATTGTAGGCTTTATAGGGTTAAAATTGTGACCTCACACTAACTCTGGCCACTTTATGATAGCAGTGAATTTGCGATAAATGTTCAGACATAAGGTGATGGGCCAGAGGGGCCGCTCACAGGGGCCCGTCTGATGCTGAGTACACATAAGTGCTTTGTGTTGATGATTTCATTTCACTCAGAGTGCAGCCGTTTATTTTTAGCTACCACACACACAACCTTTCACTCGTCGCGGGTGTGCATGATTGAAAATCATTTGTCTGTCAATGTGCCAGGCCTTCTTGTGTCAAAAGGCCAAGAGCGAGCAGTCATTCTGCTAATTAATACCTCAGTCCAACTTCTCTTAGAATGAGCCCAGACCTATTAGATTAAACCGTCCATTTAATGTAATAGGAATGGAGGCAGTCAGCTACATTATCAATTACACTCTTACAAATAAAGGTGCTTCACGATGCCATAGAAGAACCTTTTTGTCTAAATGGTTCCATAAAAACCCTTTAACATCTAAAGAACCTTTCTGTTTCAAAAAAGGTTCTTTCGTGGCGAAAGAAGGTTCTTCAGATTATAAAAAGGTAAGAAAGAGATGGTTCTTTAAAGAACCTTTGACTGAACGGTTCTTTGTGGAACCAAAAATGGTTCTTCTATGGCATCGCTGTGAAGAACCTTTTGAAGCACCTTAATTTTTAAGAGTGTATGCTGTCTCTCAGCTCTTATCTTGATTACAAGTGCAATTAATTTGCAGCTCTAATTAAACATTTATTTAGGACAGTTATTCGGTATTGAAGGATACATTGTTTATAACTCAGAGGCAGCGGAGGCCATGGCAGTGAAACATGTAGACAGAATTTTAATGACTTTGGTATTTGCATATTTGTGTATTATTCATTATGTTGCATTTTGATCTGTTAATTAAAGCATGCTTATGAATAAATTAATGCAACGAATAAAGCTTTGATGTGTAAAATATGTACAGTTGCAGCAGTATAAGATTTAGAATGGATTTTGCATTAATTGGCAATAAAATGTATAAAACATCTTATTGTTTGGACTCCAGGTAGAAGAACTTTTGTAGAAGTCAGCTTTTAGAATTTAGAATTTAGAACCATGGTTTTCTGCATAAATTTGTCATAACATTTCATCTGATCTTTAATGGCAGAGAGAGAAAAAAATATTTTATGGTAAACCCTAACGGGATCATACTTTTTATTGCAACTGTACGTAGCCTATATGATGTCTCAGGTGGGAATAGCAAATGCTGACATTGACAAAAAGGCATTTATGATGCAGACTGTGTTAAACTGTGTTAAACAACTGATACCTGTGCTTTAGAGCAGCATATTATCAACAAGTGGATTAATCTAAATTAGAAGGGTTGTCATGACAACACAGCAAACGTCTCAGCAAACCTTGCTGATTGTATACAATAATCCTTCATTTTTCCTACTAAAACACAGAACGCTGTTAATCCAATAATGTCTCTCTATATTAAGTTTACACACCACTACGTTTGGGGCTTTGTTATTAATTTGACAGCATGCATAATTAATCAAACACACAGACTAACATACGACATGCTAAGGAAAGATAACAGAATGACAAATGTAAAAATCTTAAGCATTTTGTTTCAACAGATGATAAGGAATCCATTTAGATAAGCATGTTAATAAAGGAATGGTGCAGGGTTATATGTAATAAATGACTTTCTGTTCTTATCTCTCTGTAGATGTTTGACTGGATCAGTCACAATAAGGAATTGTTTCTTCAGAGCCACACAGAGATCGGTGTGAGCTACCAGCACGCTGTGGAGCTACAGACTCAACACAACCACTTTGCCATGAACTCCATGGTATGTCATGGTGGTGCTTGTAGAAGTTTAGTTTGCTAGTCTTGTAGAATGTCACTACTGCTTAACTTCTTCATTTCATAAATATTTGTACGTTTATACCAAATGACCAATTCTCCAAATCATAAAATACACTGCTTAAAGGGTTAGTTCACCCAAAAATGAAAATTAGGCTGCGTTTTACTCACCCCCGAGGCATTCTAGGTGTATATGACTTTCTTCTTTCAGACGAATCCAGTCGGAGTTATATTAAAAATTGTCTTTGATCTTTCAAGCTGTTTAATGCCACTCAGCGGGTGTTGCAGTGCTTCAGTCCAAAAGAACTTAAATAAAAATCACCCATCCATAAAAAAAGTGTCTCACACGGCTCCGGGGGGTGAACAAAGGCCTTCTGTAGCGAATCGATGCGTTTTTGTAAGAAAAATATCCATATTCAAAACGTAATAATCACTTGAATCTAGCTTGCGTTCACTGTTGTAAACAGAAGCAGTTGCAGGCTGATGACGTATGGAGGTCAGCTTTGCGCATGCGCCGCTCAGAAGTGACGCATGCGGAAATGCAGGGGAGAGATCAAAACAAAACAACGGTCAAGAATTAGAAGTACAAAACGAGGATTTGTAAAGAAGAATGTCAGAGGATTTCGATATAAGCGAAGAGGAGACTGGTTTTCCTTTGCTAAAGTAAGGAAACTTTGCTTCCTTTGATCCTGTTAACAAACGTTGGTTTTCACGAGACTCACCGGAGCATGCGCAATGCTGAACTCGGAGCTGCTTCTGTGTACAACTGTTGGCGCAAGCTACATTAAAGTGATTATTACGTTTTGAATATGGATATTTTTCTTACAAAAACGCATCAATTCGCGACAGAAGGCCTTTGTTCACCCCCACGGAGCCGTGTGAGACACTTTTTTTTATGGTTTATGGAGAAGAAAGTCATATACACCTAGAATGCCTCGGGGGTGAGTAAAACGCAGCCGAATTTTCATTTTTGGGTGAACTAACCCTTTAAGGATTGTCATGAAAGTGTGTCATTCATACCATTTTAAAAGGAAAGTTCACTGAAAAATTTAATTTCTGTCATAATTTATTCACCCTTAAGGATTTCAGTCATCTTTGCAACATGAATAATCTCTCCACATGAATATTCTTTTGTCCATGCATTGAAAAGCCACAGTGATCTATATGAATTGAGCAGTTTAATCTAACTCTTCTGAAGAGATACAACCACATTCACAATCGTAAAGACACAATCATAAATGGCAGCTCATAGTGCTTAATTGACATACGAGAACCAATGAGGTTTTTCTCGTGTATCAGGCAAGCACATTTGGGCTTCTGTTTAATATATTTGATGAGCTCTACTGATGCATTCAAGCCATGTCAGAAAAATCGTACTTACAAGTTGAATGCACATGAACGTGACCATCACAAAGTCATAAGTCAAGTCAAGTCACCTTTATTTATATAGCGCTTTTAACAATACAGATTGTGTCAAAGCAACTGAACAGCATTAATTAGGAAAATAGTGTGTCAATAATGCAAAATGACAATAGTAAACGCTCATTTTTCAGTTAAAGGCAATTCATCATTGAATTCAGTGATGTCATCATCCAGCTCAGTTCAGTTTAAATAGTCTCTGTGCAATCAAGTCAACGATATCGCTGGAAATTAAGTGTCCCCAACTAAGCAAGCCAGAGGCGACAGCGGCAAGGAACCAAAACTCCATCGGTGACAGAATGGAGAAAAAACCTTGGGAGAAACCAGGCTCAGTCAGGGGGCCAGTTCTCCTCTGACCAGACAAAACCAGCAGTTCAATTATAGTGTCGAACGCAGCGCTAAGATCCAATAGCACTAATAGAGAGATACAACCACGATCAGATGATAAGAGCAGGTCATTTGTAACTCTAATGAGAGCAGTCTCAGTACTATAATACGGTCTAAATCCTGACTGGAAATCCTCACAGATACCAATTTTCTCTAAGAAGGAATATAATTGTGAGGATACTACCTTTTCTAGTATCTTGGACAGAAAAGGGAGATTCGCGATCGGTCTGTAATTAAGTAGTTCTTTGGGGTCAACTTGTGTTTTTTTGATGAGAGGCTTAATAACAGCCAGTTTGAAGGTTTTGGGGACATATCCTAATGACAATGATGAATTAATAATAGTCAGAAGAGGATCTATGACTTCTGGAAGCACCTCTTTTATGAGCTTAGATGGAATAGGGTCTAACATACATGTTGTTGGTTTAGATGATTTAACAAGTTTATACAATTCTTCCTCTCCTATAGTAGATAAATACAAGAAGGAAACTCAAGAACATAAAAAAGCTAAAACACATCCGATGCACACTCTTTATTAATCAGTTTGTAGATGTTGAGTTAAGAAATCATGTTGAATTTTATGTAGAAATGGTACATCGACATATTACTCCGACCAAAGTAATTTTTAATACTTTTGACTTTCGAACTCGTAAATACAAACTTCCCTGGAGGACTTGAAAGCACCAAATGTTTATGCATTGATCAATGTTTATATGAATGAAGAAAATAAAAAACCTAAATTAATTCTGTTTATCAAATAAAGTGATTGTGTCTCTTCAGAAGACTTGGATTAAACCGTTCAATCCATATGGATTGCTTACACAATGTTTTTATGAATGATTGGAAGCTTTTTGATTGTGAGAACAAAAATGATGAATATTACGGTAACACTTTAGAATAGGGAACATTTATTCACTATTAACTACGAATTTTCCCTCAATAAATTCCTAATTTGCTGCTTATTAATAGTTAGTAAGGTAGTTGTTAAGTTTAGGTATTGGGTAGGATTAGGGATGTAGAATAAGGTCATGTAGAATAAGGCATTAATATGTGCTTAATTACTACTAATAAATGGCTAATATTCTAGTAATATGCATGCTAATAAGCAACTAGTTAAGAGACCCTAAAATAAAGTGTTACCAATATTACAAATTAAATTCAAGTATATTTGTATAGCGATTTTCACAATGCAAATCGTTGCAAAGCAGCTTTACAGAAAATTAAAGTTTCTACATTATATTTAGTAATATAGTAAAAATATATAGTCTTTTTTTTTTTACGAAGATGAACGAAAGTCTTATGGGTTTGAAACAACACAAGGGTGAGTATGATGATAGAATTGCCATTTTTGGATGAACTATCCCTTCAGGAGGTGGGTGAGCTGGTCAACTGTTCCCAGTCATATTGAGGAACATACCAGCTTAACCAGCTTCCCATCATCATAGCAGAGGTCATCTGCCAGCCTTTATGCAGCTAATGCAGTCTGATTGGTTCTTTGATGCTCACCGGATGTCGTTCAGAGAGCTGTCTCTGTAGCTCCTGCAGTCTGCTCAGCTAGCCAGAATTCCTCCTAGCACTTTAATCAACCTCCCAATCATCTGAGCTCAGAGACACAAACACACTCACGCTGCTCATTCATCCTCCTCTTCTTTATCCCAACATGATTGTTGTTTTATGCCTCATTAACTTTGATTCTAATATGAGTCTGCTTGTGTTCATGGTGTCATTACTCTGATCTGGTTAAACGGATGGCTTGTTCTACCTTTAGTTCTCTTAATATATGGCTTCAAATATTGTATACTGTTTATTGTATATGCACATTCATACAGTTCAACTAATGAATTATATTATTTGATGAAAGGATTGTTTATTCCAATTAATGAACATTTGTTTAACAATTATTAATTGTTTATTATATTTATTGAACATAGGTATGTTTTATCATGTTGTTGAGAGGATTTTATAAAAATAGTAAGCCACATTAGGAAATGCATTACCGTTATTTTGTCAAACACTCCCAGAAAAAAAAGGCACAAAAGCTGTCACTGGGGCTGTATCTTTTAAAAAGGTACAACTTTGTACCTAAAGGATCCATACTGGTACCTTAAAGGTATATACTGGTATCTAAAAGGTGCTAAAATTGTACCTTTTGAAAAAGTGCTGCCCCAGTGACAGCTTTTGTACCTTTTTTTTTTTTCTGAGAGTGTAGGTTAGGTCAAATAAGGGCCTTGTGCCTAAAGGTGCAGTCACATTTACTGTAACAAATCCAGCCATTTCAGTAGAAATCTACGTGATCGTAAGTGAAAAAGGGCGAAAAAATTCACTCATGTTAGCTGAGCTTCACACATCACTACACTATTGACAATGGACATTGTACCTTTTTGCCTGCAAAATGACGCCTAAATTTTACTAATGTGACCTCACTTTAAAAACGTGATCTCTCAGGTTCCCTCATCTCTGGTAAAATCTCTGTAGTGCACATCCGCCAGTGATTTATTGCTTTATTTAAATACCCTGACGTTGGATTCTCACTAGTTTATATGACAGCTTGCTCTTAGGTCATGTTTGTTTATTGCTCCCACCTTCACATGTAATGATGCTCTCCGATCTCACGTTTTCCAGAATGCATATGTGAACATAAACCGCATCATGTCGGTGGCATCGCGGCTGTCGGAGGCGGGTCACTACGCGTCTCAGCAGATCAAACAGATCAGCACGCAGCTCGATCAGGAGTGGAAGAGCTTTGCCGCCGCTCTCGATGAACGCAGCACCATCCTCGCCATGTCTGCTGTCTTCCATCAGAAATCCGAGGAGGTGCCTGATTTCTTATTTATCATCTGTGTTTCTCATCTGTAGCTCTCAGAACAGGCAAATGCTATTAAAAACAATGGTGGCAGTGGTGTAATAGTTTCTAATGGTCTGTGTTTGTGCAGTTTCTGTCTGGTGTGGAAGCGTGGTGTAAGATGTGCAGTGAGGGCGGGCTGCCGTCAGAGATGCAGGATCTGGAATTGGCCATTCATCACCATCAGACGCTTTATGAACAGGTCACTCAAGCTTATACAGAGGTGAGAACTCAACTCTGTACGATATCCTGTATTTGAATTTACTCCAAATTTAGGCTGTTTAGCTGATGCACCTCCTAGCATCTGATTTCCTTTTAGAAATCAAAGCCAAAAATGACAAAAAATGTTGAATGACACAACCAGAATTCATTCATTCGTTTGTTTGTTTTAATTTTTTTAATGAGATTGCAATAAATAATATTATTAGAATGTTGAAATTATTGGGAGAAAAGTGAATCAGGTATATTTTAAACCATTTAGTTTGGAAAATAGTTTGGTAAATTCATAATTTGATGGCTAAAAACATTAACTGCCCTTTCAAATCTGTGTTGCTTTAGTATCTTTGATATAATATTATAATTTCTGTTAATATTTTAAATTAGATTTTATTTTTATATTTTGTGTTTTTGCTTTCATTTTAATTTAATTTAGTTTTAGTAATTTCAGTTGTTTTTGTCATTTTTATTACTTAAAAAAAAAAATAAGTATGAATAGTTTTTATTCATTAGTTTTAGTTTAAGTTGTTTTAAAGGTGGGGTAAGCGATTTCTGGTAGCCAATGTTGACATTTGAAATCACCAAAACAAACACGCCCCTACCCCAAAAGGGTCTCGCCCCTATTTTGATAGCTCCGCCCCACAAATACGTACGCAACCCAGGCAACAATTAGTTCTGTGAAACAAAGCAAAACCAATGTCTCGCGTCCACGGTTACACCGTGTCTACACCGGACGCGAGCGGCGCGGCACGACAAAATACTGTAGAACTCATTATAATTAGTGATGCTGTCTACACCATAGATATACTGTATATGTATATATACATATCTATGGTCTACACTGGATGCGGCGCGACACATTAGAGAATGTGCTCTGTTGTAGATCTCGTTTAAAACATAGAATCATTCACTGTCACGTTGTCATGTTGACCTCAGTACACAATACAATATTAAGGTGAGTTTCACTCAATCAAATATAACTTTTTTTTTTTTTTGCATTCAAACATTTTAAAATGAATGGTACAGATTCTGTTTGGTCAAAATGTTTTAATGAACACCGTTTTAAGCCACTTCATACAAAGACGCTACAATTCAATGTTTGGGGTCAGTAAGATTTTCAAAATGTTTTTAAAACAAGCCTCTTATGCTCACCAAAGCTGCATTTATTTGCACAAAAATACATTAAAATACTGTGAAATGTTTTTACAATTCAAGATTTTGTGGAAATCATGATTCAGTTTTCAGGATTCTTCGAAGATTAGAAAGTTCAAAAGAAAAAAAAAAGTATTTGAAATAGAAATATTCTGTAACATTTTGATTGTCTTTACCATCACTTTTGCTCAAATTAATGCATCCCTGTTGATTAATAGTTCTCATTTCGTTCTCTCTCTGCAGGTGAGTCAGGATGGTAAGGCTTTGCTGGACGTTCTTCAGCGGCCGTTGAGTCCCGGTAACTCAGAGTCTCTGACTGCATCAGCTAACTACTCTAAAGCCGTGCACTGTATTCTGGATGTGGTCCATGAGGTCCTGCATCACCAAAGACGTCTGGAGAGCATCTGGCAGCACCGTAAAGTCCGTCTGCATCAGAGACTGCAGCTCTGTGTCTTCCAGCAGGACGTCCAGCAGGTAGATGAATGCTCACATGTCTACACTCTCGCAGACACTCTCACTAAGTTGCCTACTTAGATAGCAGTTTTGCAATGCAATGTATGGCAAACACCAAGCTAAATAAACATGGTAAAATACTGTGATATATCAGAGTACCATGTTATTACCATATGATGTCATAATTTTACCATGGTACCACATCAGTACTAGTAAATAAATAAATAGTTTTCATGTTTTTTCTTAGATGTGCCGTAATTCATCCATAATTTTAAAGTGCAGGATGCTTGAAAGAGACAATTTGTCAACAGTTCACCATAAATTCAGAGTTGTACAGTTTTATACACAGTGTGTATTTTTTCTTCGAGTATTTTCAGTGTTGGATATTTGCCCAGAGGAGCAGTTAATATCTCTCCATTAGCCTCTTTCAGCGTGCCTGTGGCAGCTCTGGGCCTGGATTCAGCTCAGGCTTTATCAGGCCAGGGTCAGTCCTGCAAAACAGACAACAGACCCGGCCAAATCAAGATCTGAACCAGAACCAAAGAGCTAAAGAGCTATGAGGCCAAACCCAGGCCAAGCGGGGGCCAGATTCAGGCCAAACACAGGGCAGAGAGCAGCACAGATGACACCCTTCATTACGCTGAACAGTAAAACGGACTTTACTCCTGTATCAGTTTCAGTCATTATGAGCACCGTATTGGTTGTTTTTAATCCTCTCTATTCTCTCTTCTGAACCTTATGACTCCAAAGTGATAAACTCTGTGCACTTGTAGTGTACCTCAAATCTTAAAAGTATATATTTGAAAAAAACTGTACCTGCAGATAATAATCTTAATATAAAAAATAACACTTTAATTAGGTTTAATTAAAGAGAGCACACTTTCATGACTGTTTCTTAACACACTTTTAAGCACGCACTTTCTAATAATCTCAAATTAAAAGTTTTACTTTAAAGTACATTTTCATTATGTTTTAATAATATTTTGTTGTGCTTTAAAGAATCACTTATTTTGATTCGTTAATACCATGAAAGGAAATATATCTCAAATGCACTAAAGTTTATCTTTACCGCGGTTCCGGTCCCGCTATTGCTGAGGCACAGTGGCGATTGAGATCTTGGGGATTGCAAATGGATCTGGCAGAGGGGTTAGAGACTGGCATGGCATTTTCTCTACCTTCACCTATTAGATCCACTGCTCCTTCTCTGGGCTCGGAAGCCTGCACTGCGGTTTCTTCCCCCCAGAGGGAGGGCACTATGCTTCGCCTCTCTTCCTCTGAGGAGGTTGATGTGGCGAGCATGGAACAGAGTGAGACTGAGGATTCATCACCTCAGTGTGTTCAGTATGAGGAGCTGCTGGAGGTGGTGACTCGCGCTGTTGATAGGCTAAAGATAGAGTGGCCAGCTGAAGAGCAGGGAATTCGTCCTAAAAGTAAACTGGATGAGCGTTTCCTGTGCTCCAAGTCACCTCCTCCAAGCCGGAGCCTTATCTTTTTCCCTGACCTTCACACGTCTAGATCATGGGAAAGGCTGTATTCAGTTCATCTTTTCAGCCCCAATGTATCAAATTACTCCAACATTTTAGGGCTGAAAGACAACAGCTATGGGATGATGCCACGGGTTGAACAGACGCTGGCCAGCTATTTGTCCCTGAAAGCGGCATCATCCCTGAAGGTTCCAGTGCTATCCAAGCCCTTAAGAGCCACTTTGGCTTTGGTGGGTAAGGCTTACATGGCAGCGGGTCAGGCTGGCCCTTGCCTGCACACTATGGCAGTCTTGCAGGCATACCAGGCTGAAGTAGACACTTGCGGTTGAACCTGTCCGACATGAAAGAGAAGGACAGGTTCTTCCTCCTGGAAGTCTCTTTGGGCCTTTTCGGCAATGCAGTGAGCTCTGTTGTCAAGAGGTTCCAGGAGTCTAGAAGGCAGCCATCGGGTAGCTCCTCATACAGGGTGCAGCAGAAAAGGAGCGTTGCTTCTGTGTCCCCCTCAAAAAAAATCAGGGAACGGGATGGCGCTCTCAGCCAAAGCCTTCTAGAGAGAAGATGGATCTGAGGACTGTCATTCTCTCTAGGAAGACTTCGACGAAGAGGTCCTGACACTCAAGGTTCCAGGCTTCTTAGGACAGGCTCCTCTGGGGAAGAGCGGAGGTTATCTCATCATATGGTGCCCATCTCTCCTCAGTGTCCTCCAATGCAGTCAGATCGGATGGTCCCTGCCGGGTTTCCGCTTCAGAGACTTGAGAGACTGGTTCCCTTAGTAGGCTTTCTGGCAGCTTGGAGACTTCTGTGAGTTCAATGAGTTTGCTTCCTTCTTTTCTGAAAATATCAATAATATCAAATTCCTTGTTTTATTGTTGTGATTATTTTTTTCTTTTCTTTTATGTAAAGCACTTTGAATTACCATTGTGTATGTGTCAGACTTTGTTCCGTGTTTTGTTTGTCTTGCTCCCCATGTGCCTTCCTACGCCCATATTTGGTTAGTTTCCTGTTCCTGTCCTGATTAGGTTTATTTGATTCCAGGTGTTCCCCATTTTATGTCTATTACAGTATGAAATGTGCTATATAAATAAACTTGCCTTACCTTGCCTTGCCTTCTGCTTAATGTCTCACAATGGGTCCTGCAGACTGTAGAAATGGGCTGAAGAATCCAGTTTGGTTCTCGTCCGCCTCGTTTCAACGGGGTTATCCCCACTCTAGTGGGTCCCGAGCAGGCTCTGGTAATGGCACAAGAAGTAGACACTCTCTTGAGGAAGGAGGCCATAGAACTTGTTCCTCCCCTCTCGAGAGAGTCCGGGTTATACAACCTCCTCAGACATACTTTGTCATTCCGAAGAAGGATTGGTGGTTGTGTCTGATTATAGATCTGCGCCATCTGAACCGTTCTGTCAAATCGTTCAAGTTAAAGATGTTGACGTTCAAACAGATCGTGACTCAAATCAGGTCAGAGGACTGGTTTGTCACCATAGATCTAAAAGACACATACTTCCATGTTTCCATCCTTCCCAAACACAGGAAGTTCCTGAGGTTCGCTTTTGGGGGCAAAGCTTACCAATATCGGGTTCTTCCGTTCGGCCTAGCACTGTCACCCCACACTTTCACCAAGTGTGTGGATGCAGCTCTGGCTCCTCTCCTAGAATCCAGGGCATCCGCATTCTAAACTATATCGACGATTGGTTGATTCTGGCTCAATCAGAGCATGTGGAGGTTCGGCATCGAGATGTCGTCCTCGCTCATATGACAGAGCTGGAGTTAAGGCTAAACGCTAAGAAGAGTATGCTTTCTCCAGTTCAGAGGACCATTTATCTTGGCATGGTGTGGCATATGATGACGATGCTGGCACGTTTGTCTCCTGCTCGTATCGATTCGATTCTTGCAGCAAATGAACAGTATAAGACTAGGCCAGTCACTCACTGTGAAACAGTTTCAGAGGCTAGTGGGTCTGATGGCAGCTGCATCCAGCGTAATTCCTTTTGGCCTGCTGTACATGAGACCCTTGCATTGGTGGCTCAGGACCAAAGGGTTTTCCGAGAGGGGCAACCCATTTCGCTTGATCAAGGTCACGCGATGCCTTTGTGCCTTAGTCATGTGGATGAAGCCTTGGTTCCTGTCTCAAGGTCCCGTGCTGGGAGCTCTTTGTCGTCATGTAACGCTTATGACAGATGCTTCCCTCACAGGCTGGGGAGCAGTCATGAGTCATGCTCTGCCCAAGGTCTATGGGAAGGTCACCATCTCATGTGGCACTTAAATCAGAGGTAGTTGGTAATAGTGATATCAAATGTATTGTATTTCAGGTGATGGACTGTGTTTCAGTTCTGTTCGTGCACTGCTTTGTAGATTTATCAAGGAAATAATTTAATTTACCTTGCATTCGATGAGTGTTTAAAGTTGATCTGACGTGATGATTGGTTAAAGCATCACTCACAGATTTTCTGATATGCGTGAAAGTTGATCTCTGATTGGTGCAGTTGGATTTCACCCTTCAAATGCCGATCAGGTGGAACATGCTAAACACTTTAAACACAAACATATGGCTCTGATAAACCTGGATCATCGATTTTAATGAGATATCAACATACTGGATGTTTTCTGAGACAGATTGTTATTATTACCCATATTTGGTGATGTTAGTTTGCCTCACCCTGAAATGTTTGCAATTCTTAAGTAATGGAGGGTGAGAAGTGACCAAATGTCTTCAAGTGTGTAGTTAAATACAGGTAATGAGTAGGTTGAGTTTAGAGTAAATGAACAGACCTCCCACACTCCTACACATGCAAGTCCTGTTTGTGTTCAAATGCTACAAGTTAAAGGAATAGTTCACCACAAATGAGAACGTGCTTCCTGAAAATGTCCTTTTTGGAGGTGGACAGTCAACATTCTGCTAAACAACAGTTTTTCTATTCCACATAAGAGAAATGCTAATTTGCTGATTTCTTAAAAACTCTCTTGTGCCTGTCTGCATTAAACACACTGTTCCTAGAGCTCTTCATATGATCCGTGCCTCAATCTGTGGCAGTCAGACACCTGTCTTGATAAGATCAGAGCGAGTCTGCTGTGTTTTCTCTGCTTTTTGTCTGGGGTTAGTGGTGAACTGGTTGTGGTTAGCAGTGAGTCATGGGGTTATCAGCAGAGCACACAAGTGCTCTTGACTCGGTTACCTGGGAAACCATGATAACTGGAGTAAATGAGGGTCATAGTGGGACAGTCTGTGAGAGACTGACTGCTTCACACCCATGAGATTCCCATTCCATGCACTTAAGAGTTCTCTATCAGTCTGACATTATACATCTGAGGGTCTTTTTTTTTTTTTTACACATACTTTAGTTTTCCTGTGTTTTTCTGGTAAAGGTCACAATGGTTCCTTGACATTTATTTTAGACCAATGTGTGAGACAAGTTTCTTTGTAAAATGTCATCATTTAATTGCAATTATTATGGCAATCCCCATGGTAACTGATGTGGCATGTGTGTCCAATCTATTAATCATAAAT